AGTGAGACCGAGTTCCTTCACAATCGCATTGATTTCCGGTGAGCGCTTGATCGCCAGTACTTTTTGGATCTCAAACGGCGGAAATTCTTCCACCGGCAGGTTCAAAATGCCCTTCATCGATCACGCGGGCACGTTCAGATTGATATTCCACACCGAGTCGCTCTTGTTTGTGACAATCTTCCGATGTCATAGTATGCAATCGTACAGGATGGCTAGCGTTCCTGAATACTAGTTGCGAATTTGTCGAGCCAAGTCCGGATTTGTGACCATGTCGAACTCCAACAAAATATTGTTGATGGTGTAGCTGCCTCCCTCGTCGCTCTCCGTAAAAATAACCTGGCTATAAGCGTTGAACATCAGTTCATATTCCAACCTATCGCCCAGAACGGCTTGGTAAAATGGCATCTGCCCCTCCAGCAACTCGAAGTCTAGCGGGATGCAAAATCGGTTCCCGAACACCACGTCAACGGCCTTGTGTTTATTTGCCTTCGCAGCGAGTTTGGCCTGTTCGAAACCGTACCCCACGTGCAACCAAGTCGACGGACAATAGGCCGGACAAATTCCTTGGTTCTTCACGTTTTCAATTAGTATTGATAGGAATGCAGCATCAATTTGCAACATAAAGTATTAGTTATGTCAACTGGCTGTTGCATAACCATCAACTGTGGAGCTGAAGTTGTACATGCTGATCGTCCATATTTTAACGACATCATTTATATTGAAAGTATGATTTATATCTTTAAGATAACAGAACCATGGCTGAAGATATTCCTATGGATGATTTAGGGGACGATAGAACCCCGTTGCTCGATGATTATGCAGACACCTCGTTCCAGAGTGAAAGCATAGGCAATACCAACGGCCGTGGACGATTATTACGACACCATAAGGCGACAGGAAAACCTCACCCCTCTTTATCGCGATTATTCTAAATTCGAAATCGATGATCGAGGGATACTACGGCTAAAAGAGGTTCCTGACGTCGATCTCATGAACAAACACACGAGAAAACCTCTCTCCTTGTCCACGCTGGCCGGTCATCACGGTGCCCCCTTTGTTTGAGATTGATTAAACATCCGAGGGTACGGCGGTGCACGACACAAAAACAACTTCCCCCCGAAGACCACCCAGGCTTTACACACGGTGTGGACCGAGCTGAGTGCCACGGCAAACGCTATCAATCAAAACGATTTACAAGACGTACCGCAACACGCACAAGAAGCCTCGAACGACATCAAACAAATATTGGCCACATACATGGACTAACCATTGCCCGGGTTCAAATTTCCCTTTCGGGAACGATCGGCCGGATTAGAAGTGGCAAGGTACAACCGAGAAGCGCTTCAAACCCAGATCAGTCGCATTTGCGTAACCATCGACCGAGTCCTCATGGAGGACACCAAGCTAGCCGAAAGGCTTAAAACGTTATTCAGAGAACAAGGGGTTACCATCGCCAGCGTTCTAACGGCTTTGGGTTCCATCACATCGACCCTGGTCCTAGCGCTGACAGGTGGCAGTGGAAGCACACCACCAAGCCCAGCACCACCACCCAAAAAGGTGGCGACGTCAGAGACTGGGTAAAAAAACATTTGAAATTGCTCGGGAAGCCTTGGTGAGACTGGCTGGCAAAGCTGCGGAAGCCCTGCCCGGCATCTTGGGCAGCATCGTGTCCTGGTTGCTGGGCTTGTTGTCGAAAACGGTCAAGTGGCTCGACCAGAACCTTTGGGCAGTCGTTGTCGGTGTGGCCGGCCTGCTGTACGTCTCTTAACCAAATGAGGCACACCCCGACCGCGATCCCGTCGACCACGAGCCCCGCTTTTACGCGATAGAGGTGTGTTGCTGATGTCTGACCTCCTCGCGTGGTGGTGATGGTTGAACGCTGGGCTCTGGTGCTGTTGGTGGCGTCATGATGCCCGTTTCGCCGGTATGCGTGGATGGTGGGACTCTACTTACGTTGACATCGGGATTGATGCCCAACTTTTGATCGGCGGTCGCGATGACAATTTCGTTGTTGCCCACCAGTTTGTGGATGCTCAGTCGCATGTCGCGCGAAGCCATGTACAACCCCAAGACGAACAGATAGTCGACTTTCGACCGGGCGTATTCCAACATGTCCTGGTAATGCCGGATGGCACTCGGTAAATCCACCAGTCTGGCGATGGCGTCCTCGACGTTTGACAGGCACTGTAGTAAGCCGTCCCTTTACCCATAATGCCAGAGCAGAAGCGCCCACACGTACGTTCGAATCGAATCGTTCACTCTGACGACACAGGGACGAGTATACCCCTTCGATGTATCCAACATATATTCTTTCCAATCGTCTTCAGTGTATTGAGGCTGCTCCACCTCTTGAACAGTGAAAACACCACCGCCTTTAAAATCCATACGATCATCTCACCATTCATTACATGACAGAGCAAAGTGCTGTAAGAGCCAACCAATTTTCAGTAAACCATCACTGACTTCTTCACGGATTTCGCTCCACTGTACGGAATGCCCAACCCATGGTTCTTACCCAGTATATGCCAATCCGTGTTCGGACCGATTTCGAAATCAGCACAAATCTGCTCGTAAGCTTGCTGATCATAGGGATTGTTCGATGCATCCCATGCCTTGTCCTGTGGCATTGGTGTGCTGATCTCTTTGAGGATGCGTCTGATCTGGCAATACACGTGAAAATAAAACATGGACTGACTCAGCGGTTCACGACGAGTGTCATTCATGGTCAGGCCGCACCCCGTTGTCACGCATCACACGGCAAAATCGAATTGATTCTGCCAGAACTGCATCAGGTTGTGAAACCATGCGTGGACTGTCTTCACGTTCATGACCAAAAGCCGATACTTTTCAAATGCATTGATAAATCGAGCTCGAAAGTGGGAACCCTCCTTCGCATCCACCACATTCCTTCATGTGCTTGGGATCGGTAGCACTTAAATTATCGCTTATAGGATAAAACATCAACGCTTACTCGAGTCTCGAAGGAGTCACGATTAACTTGGAGAATACGACGTCGAGGATTCGACGGCGACCCGATCACGGAAATGCATGTATGCATGTATTGCAATTACAAAAACAATGTGTATTACCAACGACGAAGTCATCGTCGAACTGAACTGGATCATCAAGATCATTTTGACCCCTATCTCGTCATGGATCAGGATCGTAATATCCTCGAACTAAAAAACAATGGGATTCTACTGGGAAGTTTTATTCCGTTTCATAAAAAGGGAATGTACGCATCACTATTACCAGATCAAACGGGTTATATGCTAGTCCCTCACTCGGAAGACACAACGAAATGGCTCTATTTAAAACGATATAGTGAAGTCCCAGACTCGTGGATCACTGTGATACCAGGTTCTACCCTTATTATCAACGTCGTTCTTGGAAATGCCTCCGGACAAGGGGTGGGACTTCTGTCTGGGTTAAACATACGCTGGCACGATCGCCATAAATATCAACCCAGTCGTATTTATTTACAACTAGGAACAGCTTCCACCAAAAGCCTTGAGGGAGTCGAGGTTATTATTATAGGAGAAATTTTACTCTACCAGGCGTACGATCATGTGTACCTTATCAGCCTAAAGTATATTCATCAACGATTGACGGAGGACCAATTGAAGCTAATTTCTTAACCTACATTATACTCGAGATGGGATTGTATCCGGCCATGGACGATGTGGCTCAAACACTCGAAACCGTTGATGGATTTCGTTTGCGACAGATCAGCGACAGATCAGCGACATCAAACACCAACTGGAACGAGAACGCAACGCACAACTCGGATTGCATAAAAAGTACCATCGGGACATCGATACCATCGACGAGGAGTGGACACGGCCCTGCGTGGTCGCTGGTATGGGTATCAGGGGTGCGGCATCGGTTGTTGTCGACCATCGTGGCCGCACCACGCCGTCCTTGATACGCCATTAGCAGCCGCCAGGGTATCGGGGCTGGAAGGAATAGCTCTTAAGCTTGTGCCGCGTCGGTTGCAACAGAAGGCCTTAAAACACGACGAAATCCGAGTGCTGGGGGAAGCCAAGCTGAAGGCGATCAATGACAGTAAAATCTCCAAAGATGAGTTCTAACTGATTTTAGCCGAACTCGTCAAGTACCAACGCATGAAGGAAGAGATTCGAACCAAGACTCGGAAAACCGCCCACTTCAGCGAAGACGAGAAAAAAAAGCTCATAGAACAAGGCCGACAACAAATCATTCAAGCCTTCCTGACCAAGAACAAAAAACTCGTAAAAGTTTCACGTTAAACTGCTTTGGAGATGTCATTATGACATAGCCTAAAAAAAATAAAAATAAAAATAAAATAAAATAAAAGTCGGCACATCAAAGGGCAAGTGTACACGAAAAATGAACCTATTTTTCTTGCTCTTTTTAATATGAAAATTATTTACTTGGTACTTTTAAAGACTAAAACAGTAAAATTATAAAATTAACTATATATTTTTTGTAGGAAAACGATTTTTATTTTACACATTTACCAAGTGTTCCATTTCAATAGTAAAAACACCATGGCTTATGTCCCTTGGAAATGACGTAATTGGTGCCACATTTATAAACAAATGACGTCATCAGGTTGTATGGAACCGCTTCACGTAGTGCAAGCACAAGTGTTTGATTCCAGCGTCTCAGATGCGCATACTATTGAATTGAACATGGTGCACTGTTCGGTTCCTCGCTGTATGAACCACAATGCAAACAAACATGAAACCAAAGTAAGTTATTTCCGCTTCCCAAATCACCACGGAGAAGACAAGAATGGATAAAATTCTGTAAAAGAAGGATAGTGACTGGAATGGCCCGACTAGTGAATCGCGGGTGTGTGTCGCGCACTTCGATATTTGCTGTCGTGTGTCGCGATCGACGACTCTCAGTCAGTCAGCTGATCGGAAACAACTACGCCCCGATGCGGTTCCATCCTTGTATGGTAATGAGGTCAAGGGACAGCACTCTCATCAAGAGCCCGACTGGTCAGTTTTGTAAACAAACGACGTAAAGTCGAGGGAACTCTGGTAAGTAAGTAAATACCAAAATAATGTAAACATGCTACCCTAGTTTATAAGACTGTAGTTTATATATATAAAATAAAAGAAGTATTTATTCATAGTTTCGGTAGCTAATTAGATGTGCGTCTCGTTCACTTCCTGGTTTCAATGACATCGATCCTCGGTGATCAGCTGATCGTTGAGCTAAAGTATTGTGCTTGGTTTTGTGATTTTGAATCGGAACCATTTGTGGAATTTTTTTGGGGGTGAATAACGTCATCGAATGCTTTTCTTTTGAAATTTGTAGCCGTTCTCATTCACGACTGGGGGTAGTGTTTACCAATACCAGTTCCCCTCGATGCCGGAGGGCAGTCAGTGTGTGGAGGAAAACGAAGCTGTCAACATCCACTCACGTACATCTTCTACTACTGAGACAGTTGACGTGGGAACAGACACAAACCAACTCATTTCGGTAAGAACATTAATAAAGATATAAAATAAAGAACAAATTACCTGTATGTTATTTCGCATGTTAATTAATACAATATTTAAATCTGACTTTCCTTATAGACCGTGCTTTAAAAAATACAGAAAAGTTAGGGTAATAAGACAACACTTACTGACAAATTTTAATTAATGAAAATTATTTTGCATATTTTTTTACAATTTTTGAATGTTTGTTTTGTATCTTCCAAATGTGTAGTGTCGGAGTAAGTCCTGTCAGTGTGTGACACCCTCCTTGATGTCGACTGGTACCCAGAAGAGCATGAACACATCTTGGTGCACAATTGCTGTCCAGTGTACACCAGATACATGCGACCGTGCTACACAATATGAGGTAACAATAACATGTTTACAATAACTACTCATTCAAAATCTACATCCAGTAAATATTGTTCTGTATTGAAACATGTACATTATGTTATGTTTTAGTGATATTGTAACAGAATTGATTTTGATGTAAATATCTGGTAGTAACTGAGCATTAGTGTATGCACTTACAGCCCTAATACTATTTATGCAAATTGGTCACATTGTTACCCAGGCACCAGGTGATGCTGACAGCAAGAACAATATGCCTGACACAACTGATGATGGAAATGACACTGATGAAGATTACAATCCACATTCAAGTCAGATCAAGTTCGAAGAATCTCAATCCCAGCCAGAGTATGTATTAAATGTGCCAATTCCCAATTTATGTCATATCTGCCATATAACGTGTAATAATTGTGGATCGCACTGATGTAACATGTACAATTTTCTATGTGATTTTGACAGTTGTTAATTCACATTTCAGGTCCCTGAACAACCATATGGAAGAAACAAAGTTCCTGGTGTTTGAATCCAATTTGCTGTCACTTTTCATGTTTTGCAAATTCTGCTTTTATTCATGCAGAGCCAAAATTTATCATATCTGTGGTAGTCTGGTGACAGTGCAGGTACAGTGCCTCAGACACCAAGAGCATGCATACTTCTGGAATAGTCAGCCAATACACAAACAATTGCCACTTGGCAATTTAGCCATAGCTTGTGCTGTTTCTTTTAGTAGTCTTTGCCCAGCAAAGGCTCTAAGGAGCTATTCAACTATGAACATGTACAATATAAGCATGTCAACATTTCATAAACTCCAGAGAAGCTACATAGTCCCAGCTATTTCAAGGGGTGTGGTCAAAACACCAAACTCAGCTATTAGCTGATAGGAAAGAGAAATCTGTACGTCTGGCAGGGGATGCAAGGTGTTGCTCACCTGGACATACAGGTATGTCCACACTAGTTTGGCTTCAATAAGTTATTTGGCTTATACATTTCATGTGTAACTGGGAATAGTAAGAAGAATTGGCTGAAAACCATTATGAAATAGAAATGTTTCACTGTATTTGATATATTTAACATGAGCATGTCTTGAAAGAAACGTTGTGTCAATTGTATATAGTATGTATGTGTTTATGTATTACAGCTAAGTATGGAAGCTATACATTGATCGATGTGGACACACATCAAGTTTTGGACATCCAGTTGGTGCAGGTAAGAATACAATCCTGTCATAACATAAAATGACATGCACAGCATAAGAGTGAACATGCTCAGTTGTGTACAGTAATACTTTCTGATGACTTAATGACTTAATTTACATTGCTCTGTTTCAGTCAAATGAAGTGGCCAATTCGAATGCCATGGAACTTGAAGGATTGAAAGGGGCCTTGCACATCTTGAGAATGCCAGAGTAAATGTTTCAGACATAATAACAGACCGACACATTCAAGTAAAAGCTTATATAAAGAGGGAGAAAGGTGGCATTAAACATTGGTTTGATGTATGGCATGTTGCTAAAGGTGAATAGTTTTAAGACCCATCATATCGTGATTAGACTTAATATTTAGTGTCATTGACACAGTTATGGCATGAAAATGCTTTTCAGAAAGTGGAATATAAATTAAATATTATTCGACAAATATATTAAATCACCTTAACCTTAACAAACACACTCCGAGGTAAGTTTACTTCAATAACTTTTTTCTAACAAGTGATGATCCATTGTACCAGCCGCATTTGATGTTTTCAGGTATTTACAAGAAACTTCAAAAGTAAGCAAGAAGAAAGGCCTGGAAATAATCAGCCTGTGGGCACACTCCATTTCCAATCATATGTACTGGTGTGCTGCCACCAGCCATGGCAATGCTGAGGAGGTGCTGGCTAAGTGGTTGTCGATTGGCAACCACTTAGCTAACATACATAGTGGTCACAGTGAAACCTTTCCATCTTGTATGCATGGAGAAATTCAAGATAGAATTTGGATTCCTGCTGGTATGTAAAATTAACCAAGCAACTTCATAATGTATGATATTACATTTTCATATGCAGCCCTGACATTCAAACTTGAAGTTTTGTAAAATTGTAATGATTATCACACTAAGCATCATCATTGGTTTGTTACAAACCCACACCCATCTTTCCATTTTCTTGATCTCGCCCACTCAGTCAGCTCCCTGAGTACAACTGACCACTCACAAAATCAAATATGGCTCTGTGATTAGACATGTTCATCACTGATAATGAAGACAAAATGGCATTCATTTTATAAAAATATATTAAAACATGAATTTATTCTTCAGGAACACGAGCTCACAAGGAGATAGAAAGCATCTTAAAGTCCAGATATCTCCTGAAAGATGTAGCCAAACTGTCACCTCATGGGCAGACATCATACCTTGAAGGATTTCATAGTGTCATATGTCACTTCGCTCCAAAGTTCTACCATTATCATTACAATGGTATGAAGGCAAGGTATGTACCAACTTACTATCAAAGAAAACTGTTCAATTGTTTTTTCACTGGATAACAATTAGCCATAACCAGTTTGCCTCACATTTTTGATAGGATTTACTTATTTTAGTAACCCACTCAGAGACAATAATAGAGCATACCATGGTCTCGGTCCTGCAATCAAAATTTTGAATTTCTTTTATTGTTAACTACAGTTATATTTTTGTGTATGCCATCATATAAAACAGTCAGTGGTGAAATTACTGTTTTAACAATAATAATATTGTAACAGGTTGTTGATGTCTGCCCTCCACTTCAATGAGAATGGAACACGACTGAAAGCACACACCAAAACAGGAGAAGAGAAATGGAGTGTCTCTATATCCTAAGAGCAGAAACTGGGAGGCTACTGCTAAACCTCTCAAAACAAATCCAACATATGGTATGATATTAGTGATATGCAACTTTCATGACATTGTTCAACTTTTCCTATTATACACAGACATAATGCGCAATGATGGACCTTTTTCTTTTATGACAATGACGACATGTAGCCGGTAATGTATATTTGGTATTTACTTTTCAGAATATATTGGCGAGCTGTTACAGGAGGTGTCCGACATTCGAACAGAATTTCCAAGTTGTGCCCCTTGCTGACAACTCCCTAAATGAACATCAGCCACCCTGCATGACTGAAACTCACGGAAAGAAACGGGAAAAAACAAATCGTTGTCAGAAACCATAAAACACGTTTCCATTAAAACAATATTTATTCTAGTGAGAATAAAGAAATCCAGTATATACATCTGATGGAAATGTTGCACGTATAACATGGACAACACAAGAAGGAATCACCTTGCGATGATTTTTTCCCAATTTCTGCCAAATCCAGTATGTAAATCTTCTGTAGGCCAGATGTCGATAGATTCTGAAAAATATGAATATGATTTTAAGTACACATACATTGTCTCCATTTCAACATGCTGAACTTTTTTAAATTTCGAGAAATACTACATCCATTTGGATAAAGAGTATGGGGTTTATGGTTCTAGTTAGTGGGGAGGTTTTTGTGTATTTCAAGAATGTGTCTGTTTGATAGTGTCATGTCTGATGAGAGGGTGGTGTCACTTTGGAGGAAGAAAATATGGTAGATGACAAGAGGGATAAAGTTCATCAATAACTTCATTCATTACATTAACAACAGGTCAAATTATATTGTACTGTGAAGCATTTCAAGTCAGGGTCACCTCAAATGTTTTATGTTTTTAACATCTTTAATCCTCCATAAAGACACGAGGGCCTGTGATTATTGTGTAGGGTTGATCTTCCAACTAGGTCTATTGTGTAGGGCATATTTTCATCCAGTACTACACATCCTCAGATGGTTTGGTACACCAATCCGGTAGCAATTGTTGCTTTTATACACTTGTTTACTTTCCTGTTTTTTCTTATATTGCAAAATCCAGCATATCAGGTCATCTCATCTCAACTTACATCCATTTTAACTATGTACCAATTACATGATTTTAATGAGTAGTAATATTAAAATAGCCTCTGTTAACTGTAGGGGCATTGCCGAAAAACAGAAACGGAAAGAAATTATGAACATCTGGCGGAAAGGAATTGCTCAGTAATCTGTCTTCAGGATATTCACATTTCCCATGAGTTAGAACCTATTATGAGAAATAAATGGGGCGTTCAAATTATTAATACACTAAAACAGTTAAATGAAGGCTCCAGTAACAAAAGCATAGCATGATTTACCTGTATAAGGCTTATGAGGTAATTACTACTTTTCTTGTATCATTTCTCTGGATATACAATATTATGGAAATGGAAAAATATTGTTCTTTTCAAATTCATCTACAAATACATGGTCTGTATCTTGTTTTAGTAATGCAAATAATAATTTTAGAAATTATAAGCATATTTCGGTATATTACTTGTGTATTGGTTCATCATCACCTATGGGGCCACTGCTGTCAATGAATTCATTGTAGTATGCCTCCATACTATACTTGCTCAGTGATACGTCATGGAGGCCAGGGTGAGAAGTAATGCAGTTGTGATTTGATGTATCAAGCTTTTCCCTGATTGGAGCAACATCCTGACAACATAGCTCCTCTACTTCAGACTGCATGTGAGCGCGAGTGACCACAAGTGCACCTGTAACATTATCAGAATGAGTAGTAATTTTACTTTGAAAAATCAATTGACTTGTATACTCATGAAGAAGCCGTTTTTTTCCTGCAGTATAAATTCATATTTGCATTTATATTTATTGTATGTGTGTGTGTGTGTGTTTCATATCATATCATAACATATTTGAATGAAGAACTTTTTCAACAGTTTCCAAGAGCTACTACAATTTTCTCATTAACAGTCAAAGGTCAGAAAAACTTATAACCATTGATCAATGAATGTACCGGTTTACAAACAAAACATGTCACTGTCAGTGCAGTGTCCCCTATTTTCGTGTTACTCAGATAAATGGTCGATAACGTATACTGGATGTAGCAACTTGTTTTTAATCGAGTGATAGTAGATATGGAAAAAATATACATTATCTGTAAACTAAAGTTCGTTCACTGTCGTTCTTTGATCCTGGTTTTGGTTAGAAAACACGGTAAACCGGAAAATTGATGTGCTGCGGTTTCACACACCCGATTTCACAGAAATTAATGTAACCACCAAATTATGAAAACACATTGCAAACACAAAGCAACATATACAATGCATATTCTTTATAATCAGACATGGTGTTCACATAATACAAGAGTATTTATTTGTCTGATTTGTCAACGTTGTAAACATATTTCCGGTATTACGTGCCCACGGTAATGACTGCGTTGGGAAACGAACCCAGAACTACGTACGTGTTTGGGAAGATAAAGCGAACTTTACTCAAGGAAAACGACAATAATACTACAATCTAGTGAAAACTCCCTGTGAAGTTAGATGTAAGTGTTATCTTCAATTATTGTTTGGACAAGCATATTTGATGACACTGACACTGTGACGAGGATGGACCAGGCGAAAAACAAACGAAGAGTGCTGGTTATCAGGCATAGCAAGCATCACTACAAATAAGTTTATATTTTGAAATGTACATTATTTAGATAGAAGTAATATTATGATCTTACCACGATGGTCTCGATGAATCGGACTCTGCGCTTGACGACACAATGTTTGAAGACAAAAGGTCTTCACTGGGTTCCACATCATGCACTTGATCGTATCTCGTCTTTACTTTGAAGTCTGGGAAATTAGCCCTTGTCGGTTCAAAGGAATATGGTTGGACGTTTTCTTGATTCAGTGAAAATTCTTCGCAATCAGACGACGAATCCGAGGCCATGTTGTTTGTGACAGTAAACTGGTACTGGATGTCTTTCACGTCAGATTAAGACAAGCTACCAGTTAGAGTGGCACCAATTACGTCATATCTAAGGGGGGTAACTCAGGCCTGTTTCGCTCTGAAATCGAATGCTTCATAACGGCGCACCATTTTCACACGTATTTTCAGGTTCAAACTATTAATGTGAAAAGATGAGTGCATATATCCAAAATGAATAAGTAATAATTCTAAAACTGAATTTTGATTCATGTAAGAAACAAAATGATTTTTTCATTAATACACTTGCCCTTTAACATCACTGCCACAGGCTAATTTGCATATCACGTGACCGGACTTTTCTCTTGTTTGTAATTCCGACAAACGCGCATATTCATAATAAGAAGAGACTGGACTCACGAAAGATTTTCGGCGCTCTCTTCATAATGTTTTACATTGTTACATATATATTCTTCCACAACTGCGACAGTAAGGTCTATGACAGTACATATTTAGATATTAAACTGGCTGCATCGTTTGCTCTCCATCAGCTTCGATGACAGCACGTGGAGCCGTACAACCTATGTAAACAAAGGATCACTACGCAAATCGAAATAGTGTTACATGTTTTGGGATATTTTCTAAGTGAAACTAAACCATTCTATTCAAGATGTTTAGTTAGATGTGTAGACTCGTCAAAAATAAAAGAGTTAAAGAAATCTGTACATTATATTGAATGGACATTGCAAGATGTGACGAATCGTCACATTTGTCTGGCCTGTGGCAGAGATACTATGCTGGCTTGCCGCATGGAACTCTGGGTAGGAGAGTGGATCAAATGGTATTCGATTCACGGAAATTCGCTGCGTATTAATACATACAAACATCGCTCACACCATTGTATTGTTACGTCGTCAGCTGTGATGACGTCATTCAAATCATATTGTGACGTAAAGTCGGAATGACGTCACAAATGAGCAGTTCCAGATGGTACCATGGGAGACAGCCAAATGCCGAAACGGCCGGCTGATGACATTTCACTGCTGTACCCGTACTCCATGTCAATGAGTGCAGACACAAAAACGTGTGTGGACCTTTTGGTTTACTTTTGTGTTTACAATGTCGATAAACATCATGTGTTGGCCAATTCCCGGTGTTATTGAGTATTTGAAGCACGGGAATATTTCATTTGAAACCTCCGGCTGACGCCGTCGGTTCCAAATGAATTCCCGTGCTTCAAATACTCAATAACACCCGGAAATTGGCCAACACATGATGTTTATCTCCTAAATAAAGGTATAGTTTTTTGATGGCGTAATAATTGAATGACGTTATCCCGTCACTGCGCCGATCTAGTGTGCCCCCTCGTAATCGAACCATTTTACATTACGTCACAATGTAAGCGACGTCACGACGCATGTTAGTTATCATCGCCTCGTACGGCCTCCTACAGTAAACTACTCCGTTGCATCCCGTTTCTTGGTTTGCAGTTGCTTCACACAGCTAACATTACTGGTGGAAACATTACGTTTATGTTTTACGACGGTAAAAATGTGTCAATTCGACTCACAAGTTTTCAGCGACACGGTAACGTTCGCAATGTTTACATTCCCACAGTGCAGTCGTGGAATGTCGCTTGACTACTCAGCTTCATCTGGATGTACTGATCTAAACTTACGTTGGTAGTAGAAATGCGACGTTCATATTGCCCCATATGGTTTACGCTAATGACAGATGTAATAAAAATAATTCAGAGAAGATATTGTATCCGAACGTAAACCGTCATCAAACTGTTATCATTTGTTTTTTCTGGTAACGTTCGTCTTAACGTAGGGGGCAGACACATCAATAGAACAGCGCGCCAGTTAGCCCTGTGTGAGGATTCTTAATTTAGGTCACCGACACAGTCGTTTGTTTTCTGCCTTAAATTAATCGTAATTATCCTTAGAAAGTATTAAATTTGGCATTTTAGAAAAAATACAGTTCGCTCTACCACCATGTATAGTGTAATAAAGTACACTTTCGCCCTGAACCATTATAACGTTAAAGCGTTCGGACTATTATGGTGTCACAGCTCATTCTATCGTACACTACTATTATGACGTCCCGCGGATAATTGTGACGCAAACCTCTTACGTATCGGGTTAAAACAGCCATCATTTGTATAAAATTACATCACTAAAGCTTTCGCCCTCGAATATATTATAACAATTCGCCTATCATCTTACAGACTGAAGATGGTGTCTGGATTTTATGGCTTAAACAAACAAACAAACAAGCCAGACACCAGACACCAGACACCAGACACACCCAATGCCGAAAATGTATAGTCACTCACTTAATATTGCAGAAAACCCAACATGTCTAGATTGTGGGGTGCTCTGTGTTTTCGCTTTCATGTTCCGCTGTCGCTTCGCCACTAGACTGGTTTTTACGTACAGTAGGTTCGCGCAATAACCTTAGCCTGCGTAACCTACTGGAGAGGTTATCTCCCATTTGACAGACACCCATTTGACAGACACCCAATTGACAGACACTGAACTAGAAGGTTAATTAGGGTAACACCTACGGGTGTAATGGAACAGTCCACTGTCCAGTGAGTAGAGCAGGGTGAGCCTGAAACAGGTTCGCTACTGAGAAGTTTGATTTTGGGTAAATAGAACTTTGTTGTGATTAAATGATAAATGATTTCTCTTCTCAAAATTGATTTTACTTTGAATTACTATCGAATATAAAAACAGGTTTGTCAATGAGGGGTTTGATTGTGTTTATTGATAGAAAAGACCCCTCCCAATAATAGCATATGTACAACAGAAGTTAACTTTATAAAACGTTTTGTGGGAGAGATATAGATATGTACATATTTGAAAACATTCTGATTTGCAGTAAATGACACACCTGCATTGCCATGTAAGATACGATTATTAACAAAAAGTGTTCTTATTTTAACAATACTTTCTAAAGATTGTAACAGTTTATGTCTTTGAGTAGTATACAATGGACATTCAAGGAAGTAATGAAAATTATTCTCACATCCATGGCCACATTCACATGATGCGTCATATTTTAAATATTTATTCTAATTAAGTCGTAATTAAGTGCACTCGTCATATATCTTGATATTGTGTACAGAACATATAACTTCTTTATTCCATATGAATAATATTTAGGTTCACATTTGTCTTTATTTGATTTATGTTAATATAGGCCAGAGCACATATACACGAGGTCCACTCTCATTCGACAGAGTGTGTATGTAGACAGAACCCAGTTTAATACCGTCACCAGTTACAACTACCCACAGTACTGTAAAGGCGTCTGTAATCCATGCAAGGTGTATTACACGCAACCGACTAGTGTATAAAATACAAGCGATGACTGTGGCAGATGACTTTTCCCTGGCATATTGTTTCGGTGAACAGACACTAGTATTTTCCTGTGACGTTAAGCAATATAGAAAATAAAAGGAAGAATGTCAGTACGCTTCGTGAGCATGTAACCTCGAACCAATCTTCGTAAAGAACAAACTTAAAGTGTTCTGGAAAAAGTGAATTTGAGTGATAAGCTATTCACTAAAATGACACACACACATGATACACTCTGATAAACACGCCACTACATTTCAGTGTGAAAGTCAACACTGTTGTCACGTACACTGACACACTAGCAGCAGTGTAAGCTGGGCCCCGTCTCGCATATCGCAAGGTTACGCGCGCAAATGGAGCCGGGAACCAGCCTAGCGGCAGTGATGATAACAGTGGGGTAACGAACGTAGATCTCGATGGGGGCTTCTTTGGCTGAGTGA